GTAGGGAAAGGCACCTGTTCTTAAATAGTGTCCTGATTTGAAGGTCATTTAAAAGTGGTTAAATAGGGCACAACACCTTTCCAGTCATTTTTTGTGACACTCCTATTTCAAATGGTGGGCCTACTTACAGGAACAACAGCCCAGATGCATGGGCTATGACATAACCCCATTAATTGATGTATTATGTATGCTAGCTGGAATGGGAAAAATAAACATTTGTTGCCACCCCACAATTTGCAGTATATTAATATATGGCTATCCTCTTCATACTCTTAGTGTAACTGGGATTCAGGTATTCTCCCATCTTGGCTCTGACAGTGTTCAACACATAGAGAATGAATTACATGCAGGTATTTTTGAACCATGTCTCACTACCAAGTCATTATAAGACAACAAAAAACTGAAACTTGAATAAAACCCCCAAACACTTGTAAAGCATGGCTCCCCTCAAAAGTGGCTGGGTTTTGCCTTAGCTAAAAGATCACAACCGTGCTCTCAGGGCTATGTAATCTGTGTTCTCATTCTTTTAAGGGAGGTCTACAGCCCTGAATTGTTATGAATACATAGTTGCTTCTGGGTGAACACAGGAGTCTACTCAGCCATTAGCTACAGTGGCTTTTGAAGAAAAAAGAAAAGATTGGTATGTAGCTTTTTACACTGGTAAGATTAATCTGTTAAGAGACCTAACTGCAATGACAAAGAATGGCTAAAAACCTGTCACAGGACACTGCTTCTTGACGAACCTCTCCAGCTGTGCTCCCAGAAACACATTGGTATAGCAGAGAGAAGGGCGTCAAAGTCAAAGGATGACCTGAGGGTGTCTCATACATATGGAAGTCTGAGGCCTGCTTTAATATTTATCTAAAAGAGTATCCGTAAATAGAGGGGTGTCAGGACCCACACACTCAAGTGGGTCTGACTTGGTACTGGAAATCAAAGCTTGGTGTCCGTCCCAAGCTATGTGGGGTGGAGAAAGTTTTAGGAAGAAGAGACTGAATCTGGGATCGCTGACTTCCTGCCAAGAACTCTGCCCAGTGCTCCATGCTGGCAACCTCTCAGAGGAGCAACGAATCTTGGACTGCGATAAATGGAGCAAAAAGTGTTAAATAGCTCTAAGGGACTGTTCTCTGTGGTCAGGACTGCTGAAAAAAACCCCCAAAATATTGTTCTAGTTTAATACATTTACATAGCAGTTTAAAAGGACAGCTTAAACACATTCAATTTCAGTTAAGATGAGCTTAAGGTGCTTCTTTTTCAGTTAAAAAGAGCTCAAGAGCTATAGTAAAAACATACAGATGAGTTTAGGCAACTTGAGTTCTGCAAAATTACTAGAATTCATTTATGAAACTTAGTTTCTTTTCTATTCACATCATTAATGATGCCATAAGGCGAAACAGATTGCCAAAGAATATAATGCAGTTTAACTAAGATACTTTATACTAAGTAGATGTGTACAACATGTAGCACAAGACTCACAGACCAGTGAAGAGGAAAGCTCACATTTACAAAATAGTTTGTTCTGTAATTCTCTTCCCCTTTATTGAGCCAGCAAATCTCAGTCACTATAGTAAGACTCCTTTGGACGCATTGTCAAAATTACATTAGCAATATTCTAAATATTGGGAAGGTAGACCAGGTTAAAAGTACACCATTTATCCCAGTGCCAGCTGGCTGAGCTGCTGGACCTTCTTTCCAACAGAAGGAAGAAAATACTACACACATTCAACACAATTTAGTACTCAACTGAAATCTACTATGGTTTGTTGAATTGAAGAAGAAAATGCAGTATGAAGTAGAAACAATTTTCTGTAAATATGGGCCACCAAATACTTGAACATTCCTTGAGTCACCCTTGAAGCATTGCTAACTACTTTAAACAGCAATATGTACAGTCAGAGATTACCCTCATTTAACTTAACCAGTACTGAGGAAAAAAAAAACCCTTTGGAAACATTTTTCTTTGCTAGAAATCAGAACAGCCACATACAGCCCAATATCATCATCCCCGGCATGAAGCTCTTACCAGCAAGCTAAAAAAGTCTTGCAGAGGCAGAAGGATATATATCCACAAAGTACAGAAGAATCTAGTCAAAACGCTCCCTCAGAGACATTCAAACCATGCTGCTTAGAGCCCTACTCTCGGACACTGCTTCTGTGAGGGATTTCAGTGGCATCAGCCCATTTCAAAGCAGGACTAACAGGACTAACCTAGCTGTGACCAACTAGTGAATCCAAAAAAGATTGCTATAATATACTGCTAAACTCTGGTGGTGATGACTACACCACAGTGTTTTTCCTGGATGCCCACTGAACTCATAAAAAAAATGGAATACCCTTTCATGTCTACTGCATTTATATATATGCTATATATATGATATATCACCACAGTATATATCATATATAGAGAGATTATTCTATATTATATATCTAGAGAAAATCACATGCACATTTCTTGCAGGCAATCGACAAAGAAGGAATTCTTATTCTGTAATTTCTCAAATTTAATAGACTGGCTTTTAGCCCTGGACAGATCTGATGTAAGATCCTTCCGTAATGTATTTTCTGACAAAGATTTTTAGAGCAGTGGTGCCGAATTTGCCATTGTTAGAACTTTGGTACGACTTGAGCAGTACTGTTTGCATTGTTATCCAAGGAGGAAGTTAGTTCTTGCTGCCTGGCTGCTTCTGTTAACTACTTCTATGGCTAAATCATTGAATTTACATTCAGGTTAATCTCTTTTTGGAAAAGACAACATATTGGCAAGTACAAGTGTCTTCTGAGGACAACATTTAGAAAACAAACCATGCTGCAGTGTAATGAGGGAGTTGAACTAATGTGTTTGAAAAGGAAAGATTGTATTGTTCTGACACTACAGGCCTGACTCTCCTCTTATTGCACAAAGTTTAGACTGGCATAACGCTTTTGACTCCTGCTGGCTCACCTGTGATTTAGTTTACTGGCAGCAACAGAGGAATCAGGTTGTATATTTGCTACACTCGACATTCACCAACATAAAGGCAGTTTTAACAATGTTGTACAGGAGACTGGAACCCAAGATCTAGTATTTTGCTGAGACTGGTAACCGAACTGTGTACGGGAATATTTGGATAGTAAGACCCAAGGAGGAATGAAGTTGCATGGCAACCTTCTTCCTCCATATCCAAATATCAGATTTGTAGCTTTAAATACATTCTGAAATATAACAAAAGTGCAAGAGTAGTTTAAATTTAAATACAGTGTTTACCTTATTAGTTAATAGTTTGCTAAACAAGATGTAAAATACACGTATGTATAAAAGCTTATACCATGATCTGCAGTGCCATGCTATGCGTAAGTGTCAAAGTTTGGCATTTCACTTGCAACTCATGCTATGTTTCTTTGGTTTTCACCCCTGCTATTAAGTGGAAGAGCACCTGCTTTAGCTTGGAGTCATGGGGCACTTTAGAGGACACTAAAATTTGGCACTAGGGCTCTGTGCTCTTGATGCAGAAATCCCATTAATATTACTAGGAAAGCTAAGGACACAGGGGAGAACATACCACGTTTAGATTACTGTACAGTTCTTCAGTCTCTTACATGAGGCCAATACTTCCAACAAAATAGCCCATAATAAAGCTTGGAATTGAGTATTGTCTTTTGATTGTTACCAATAATGCCTATAATACCGGGCTCTCATAGCTGAGCAAGATTCATACTGTTACAGTCACATGTATATCCACATTCAACTTCCTTTTATTAGAAGTATAATACTGCACTTTATATCACAAATGTATAAAAATATGGCAGATAGTGTCATAACAATACTTTTCTTTTAAATGAGTATATTTAAAAAACAGACATTTTCCATTTTTATATATATATTTATAT